TAGGTAAACAGAAAAATCATAACTAACACGAAAAGGTTGACTTATCTCACACTTGAAGCTCTACACCGAGTAAATCGCAGCCTCTGGCAACCCTGCAGTCTGAGGGTAGGGTACCGGCACTTCAGGGAGTTTGTCGATCGATTGGAGATGAGATAGAGGGTAATCTGGGTGTGCTGTTAAAACTAGACAAGGCTGGGGAGGTTGTTGTGTCTGCTGGTATTCACATGGATCACCTCCGTGTTGTTGTGGGAAACCACTTCCGTCAAAGTAGATTGCGGACGGATTCTCATGGAAAAAACCATTACTCCCATTGTTTGGATAAGGAGAATTCATTTGATGAGCACCTTCACCACCTCCACCACCACCACCACCGCAGAACGGAGGCGTACTGTAACCAGATTCACCTTCCCTCAGTGAATTTTCACTCATATCTCCGTTCTCAAAAGCAGTTGGATTCAAACGTTTCTGCTTTTGTCGTCGATTGCAAAACCACACTCGAACAACTTCTTTCTCTAATCCCAGAGTGTCAGCAAGGTTGGTGATATCTTGAGCAGCTGGTTTTGGTTGTCTAATGAAATGTCCTTCCAAAACACCCTTAACTCCCACTTCAATACTGGTCCTTTTTTTACGTTTCCTTCCTTGAGTTGTCACTTTATCGAAAGTACTTGTTGTCCCAGTACAGCAATCCGCTTCATGAAGCCACTTTTGTAGAAGTGGTTTCAGCTTGCACATATTCTTAAAGGACAACTGCAGGGCTTCGAAACGACATATGGTGGTTTGGCTGAACACATTTCCATAGAGGGTACCAAGAGCAAGGCCAACGTCAGCTTGGGTGTAGCCCATTTTAATTCTACGTTGCTTGAAGAGTTTGGCAAAGTGTTCAAGATCATCAGATGACGGAAACTCCTCCGGAGGCTGTGGTGGATTTTCTCCTGCTGAATTTGGCGATGGCACTGGTTCAACTTGACTGTTCTCAAACTCGGAGCTATCGGACTGTGGAATAAGTCTGTATGCAGAGGGAAGGGGGAAGGAAGGTAAGAGGGGAAATACTGGTGGAATTGAATCCTCATTCTGAGGTTTCATCAATCCATTAAGATCGGAGTTGGGCAACATGGAAGACAACTGTTCTGAAAGCACGCTACTTGGCTGAGGATTTTGATTCTGTTGTTGAGGTATAAGATAAAGAGAGTTATTCCACCCATCAGCATCTTTGAAGCAGAGTGGAAGGGATTCGATGCCGGCATTGCGTAAAATATGGTTCATCTTAGAATCAGCCTCACTCCCCGAATTATTGGTCACATTAAGATCAGACTCCAACGAGGAAGTCGAAATGGTTGCATTAGATTGATCTTCTGGCTGAAAATGAACCAGAGAAAGATGACCATTAATAGGAAAGGGGTACATTGGTTTCATCTCTTCACCATGACCCACACCATACTCGTCAGTTTCTGTAGATTGGAAAGTTTGTTGAAGCGCCGAACCATCCTGTACAAAGGTATTTTCTTGTCTTGAAACGGGGTAAAGTAGTTCAGGTTTAATCTCCTCGTTGCAAACGGGCTGACCATCTTGACCAACTCTGGACCAACATGAATTATATTCTGGGTTGGGGAAATGAGAGTAGGTTTCAGGAGGGAAGGATGAATTATTCTTCCAAGATTCATCTGACTCAGAATTCCAATTAAAAATGGGATTTACACCAAGAAAATTCTGTGGAGGGAAAATACTGGGGTACTGACATTCATTCCCGGTTGGATAAACAGGAATTCCAGACTGCTCAAACTGCCAATAAGAGGAAGGCACAAACTGATTTGTAGAAGGCTCTTGAACTATGGGATAGGCAACTTCCTGGTTTCCAGGCAGTTCCATATTTTCTGACTCAAGATGGTAGAAGGAGTTGGCTTTCTTGTGTCCACGTTTACGATTTCCGTTCTCACAACCACCAGGTATTGGGGAATTGATGGAAGGATTAGGAGAGTCAGCTGACTGAGTGGGAGGAGGCAAAGCAAAATCAATAGAGCCTTGGTGGTTGTGAGGCAACTGATTAGGATCGTCGCTGCATATCATTTTGTGGCCAAATGTGTTGACAAGTCTAAGTTAAGCGGAGAAGTGCGGCCGTGTGGGTCGGAAAGAAGATGCGTGTGCACGAGTATGCGCAAAATTGACACGCACCAATAGAAAAGGTGTCACCCCTTCTCCGCCTCGTGACCACTACAGCCAATCAGAGGAAGAGATCGGTATGCTTTCAAGTGCGCCGCATTGACATTAGCCAACGGCGAAATTGTCACGCGAAGGCAGGCTTTAGAAATTTCTATCCTTTTCTCCAAATCCCGTTTGCGCAAAATGGGATTATTTGAGGATAAAAAGAGCATATTATCGATCTATCTAATTTTATTAGTTGACATATTTCCACTTATCGTCATGTTAAATCACTCTGACGTATCATTGGGTTATATAAGATTAAAAGCCAATATAGAACAGACTCAATTGTTAATAAATTTTTAGTAGGTTTATTAGAGCATTCTAATCCAAAAAGCAAATAATTCCCTTGTGGCTGAGTATGAATCTTTCTATATAAATCGAAATTAATTATTCATGCAATAACGGTGCTCACAAACAGTTCATTCCTTTGTTTGATTAATGAAATTTCTAAACTCTCAGGCGGAAAGTAGAGTTTTTAGTGTCATATTTATCACCTCAAAAATATGTTTATTTAATTGTCGCTTTGACTTTATACTATGAAATTCTTGCTTAAAATTTATTCTACGATCTCTTGAGAATATTTCTGAACCCAGGGTGTATGATAGACTTACCTCCACTTGGTGCACCCTGGACAACGTATGCTCATACGAAAAAAGTCTATTAACCAGTATTTGGCTTCTGAATTTAACTACCATGACCTCACTGTATGTCATATTCCACCATTTCCACAGTACTCACCTCACCTTTTTTCTCAGCCTTTGTGTCTGCCTCTTTTGCATCTTTGAAACTCTCTTCTGTTCCCTCCTCCTCTCGAATTTTTTCCCTTTGATATTCCTCCTCTGTGAAGCCCAAAGTCAACTAAAAGTCTAATGATAACTATCAAAACGCCTGCCATTTGAAATAAATAAATATTTCTGCACCCTTGACCACCTTAAACCAAGATATGTAATTTTCATTTGATTTCTTAATTATGCACCGTAATTTAAAGATTAGAAGAGAGTCACTTCTGACATTTGCTCAAAAGCCGTTTTTATTCAAGTCAAATCCTACTCACATGCACAATGCGTTCGTTTCAGACTGTCTCCAAAGAAGGGCTTTATTCTAAGACACATCTAATTTATTAAATTAATTAGTAATCTTACATTTTTTCCATTCTAATTTACTGCACTTTTCCTAATAATTCACAAAATTCATTTAACTGGTAACCACGCTCGAGAGATCTATGTAACAAAATCACATAGAAATCACAGGATTATAGTTTGTAATTCAAACTCACGATCATTGATTTTTAATAGCGTAACAGCAAATAACAATTAAGATCGATATTTCGAAATCCAGAAAATGTATTTTTTTCCAAAATTAATATCCCTTAAAACTTTCATTGATTGGATTTAAAAAAAAACACACATTCTCACTCTCTCTTGTCTACTGGGCACCCAAGGGGTGACCCAAATAGTAGCTCTGAAATCTGTTCTGCGACAAAAGGAGATTGAGGTGGAAATATCCTATCTGCAAACTTAAATTTTTGTGTTAAAGTTCGTGTTTGTCTTTAAAATTTATTCTTAGAAAGAAACAATTAACGATTAATCTATAGGTGATAAACGAGAAAAGCGAAGGAAGGAAATGAAAAAAAGACGATTTTTTGGTCCTTATTAAAATACGGTTAAGAATAAGAATATTAAACTCCAAAGCAATTAGGGAACAGTTCGACTTTCCATGTTGCCCTTCTCTTATCAGGACATGAACGCCTGCAAGTCGATGACTACTTGAGCATTACTAGAATATATGCCAAAGGGCCTATACTCAACCAATGTGAACTTTCAATCAGACAAGAGGACTTCAAGCGACGCGACAAAGTCTACACCACCTACCAACTTCTAGGTTAACGTACCAAAAATTTCCATTTGAATCAGATCCACAGTGCAATAACACTTGAAGAATTATCACAGAAACTCTCATCTTCATGGTCAACTGTGTCATCACACTTGAAGCAAATGAATAATTTGAATGGGTTGGCAATTTAGGTGCTGTCATATCAACTCTCCATCAATATCAAATATGGGTGGAAGAACACATGGTTTTATTTGGCAATGAGAAAATGAATGTTTACGACACTGTAGACGTGGAAAACAACGACTGTCTCCTAACCCAAACCAGGTTTGACACTTCGGGAAATGGTTCCACATACTTGGAAGGTGTATGTGGAATAACCCAATATAAATGGTTAAAATTGGTTGAAAGAGGTACAACCGACGTTTGCCGTTGATAACAATTGGGGACACAAAAGACAAACATTTGCTGAGCAGAAATTAGATTATTCTTTGACCTGATGATGTCAAGAGCAAGATTGCACAAACCATTAATCACCTCATGAGAATGAATGGGGCATGCGATCTCAAGATGCGTCTTTGGGGGAAAATATTTAAATTTTCCTCAAAGATCGAAAAATTGCAAGTGCCATATACGTCATTTAATGATAATTGACATTTGACTGTTATTTTAAAATGCGCGGTTTTTTATTGGTTCTCCTATAAGCCGATTGGCTTCTCGCAACGGAAATAATAGTAAATAATTGATAAAAAGTATTAGCGGATTAGAAAACTTTAAGCTCATTCCTTCTATCATAATAAGAGAAATATATCGTGATTCATTTACCAGTTTAATAAAAAAAGAATTTGTTCACTGGTTGGGCGTAGTGGGAATTTTATACAAAGCATTAATCCTGTTTACAATCTGGTTCGACACTTAAGCCTGTTGATTTGTAGATAAATTAAAGTGAAATTCCACCATTCTCTAGTTAAGTACCGCACTTGAACGAGGACAAAGGCCAAATCGAGGAAAAAATTGCTGATCTGAATACTGCACTTTTATACTGTTATCCCTGCTATCCATGACAGAACACGCCTCTCAACAAGGATACCTCCCACACCTAGGGAGATGAGAACAGAGAACCGGGGGGGGGGAGGGAGGAGGCGAACTTCAATTCCACATCCCCTTCAACTTTTGCGGTCACACCTGTGGCTTTTCACCAAGACACGCTCCCACGTGTCGTGGGGCCACACAAAGACACCCGTGTGTGTGCGTGCGTGCGTGGGTGCGTGTGTGCGATGTGCGAGTGTGCGTATACGCATGACACTCGTGGGCTCATTTGCTTTGCAAATCAGTTCCCGCTGGGGGGATCCCCCATTACTCCTGCCCCTGATAGTCCGCTTTGATCAATGTGATTGGGATAACTATAAATCTAAGAACACGACTGACTGTACACACTGAAGCACCTGTGAAAATAAGGTGACAAATGGCGTATATTTGAAAATTGGTACCGCCGTCTGTGATAAGGAGGGGTTAAAACTACACTAAATCCTGATTTTAAAAGGAAATTTGGCTGTCCCTCCTGCAGTGGATCTTATTTCAAAGGCGTCGTTGCCTTCCCCCTTGTTATTCCTGACACCACAGAATTGAACCCATGGAAAGTAATAGATGGATAAACAATAGTGCCAATGTTTATCTAAAAGTGCGAGATAAACCGAAAGCGAAAAAATGTCTAACCGTAAAAATTCAAAAACCGAAGGTAGATTGGTTTACCAAAATTCTATTAGAAAGTAAATATTATGAGAATTAAAAGCTTTGTCTTTGCTAACGCTAGCACAACTCCTCAATCACAATAGGAATCATACCAGTTAAATTGGAAGGTCAATTCAAGAGCATATCATTGACGAAAATACATATTGAATTGAAAGGTGCGCGATGGACTTACCTCCATGTGGTGCACCCTGGGTAACGTATACTCATACGGCAAAAAAGTCTATAAACCGACAGTTGACTTCTCGCTTTAAACTACCATCACCCCCACTGTAGGTCATATTCCACCACTTTACTGTACTCACCTTACCTTACTCTCAACTTTTGGGTCTGCCTCTTTTACATCTGCGAATCACTCTTCTGTTCCCTCTCCCCCCACTCCCATTTCGACTTTTTTTCACTTTGATGTTCCTCCCCCTCTGTGAAGCCCGAAGTCAACTAAAATCAGAAGTCAACTGTCGGTTTATAGACCTTTTTGAATTTTGAGTTTAAGTTGCCCAGGCTGCACCACATGGAGGTAAGTGCTTCACGCACCTCGGTTAATTGAATGTAAGTCCATGGAATTAGTGGCTCCGGGAAACTTTGCTTTGTGGTAACTTTTCACAATGATCTAAGGCTAAATTACGGATCAAGCCTCAAATATTGAACGAAATCAAACTATCTGTAGTTACACTGTGATCGCTTTAAAAAATCTATTTAAATGTCAAATGAAATCGCTCTGTAGGATACTGTCTTCACTTTGGCGCGTGGGATAGACTTACCTCCTCGTGGTGCACCCTGGGCAACGTATACTCATACTGCAATAATAGGTCTATAAACCGGCGGTTGACTTCTGACTTCTAACTATCATGACTCCACTGTATGTCATATTCCACCACTTCACAGTACTCATCTTACCTTTTTCTCTACCATTGTGTCTGTCTGTCTTTCTGTCTCTCTTACATCTGTGAATCACTCTTCTGTTCCTCCTCCCCACTTGTTTATCTTCTTTGATGTTTCTCCCCTCTGTGAAGCTCGAAGTCAGCATGCTATTTTAAAAATAATAATACTAATAATGTCTTCACTTTAGCAGACACCTTTCTCCTTGTCAAAATGTCATCTGTCTATTCTAGCTAATGAGAATGGCAAGAGACCAACGTATGGAATGCAACTAGAATGTTCTGATGAGTGTACTCTCTCTCGGTAAGGCGTCCTCACAACAAGCTTGAACAACTCACTGGAGTGTGATTGAGTAATCTCGTTCAAAAGAGACTCCTTTGATTTTTTTGTAATGCTTGGCTTCACGA